TTTGTTGAGAAATGCCTGCAAGCATGTTCTAAGTGGAGCAATTTACAAAGTGACCACATCATGAAAATGTGACAAGCTCTGAGAAAAAGAGTGACAACTATTTGTGTTGCTGGAAGAGATAATAATATTAGCTGATAAATAGCTCTGATGACAAAATGCTTCATGTTAAAACCCCCAATGGACAAATTTTAGCTTTCCTTTTGTTGTTGCTAATGATCATTTTTGTTGTCATCAGCAACACTTGGATTCAAAGGTTCACCCTACTCCACAGCTGGTCATAATGTGTGTCGGCTTTAACCTAACCTACCCTACCCTACCTTGACCTATCAAATCATAATTATATACTCTCTGTTTATTTTCTTTTTTGTGTTCTTCTTGCATTTTGCTAATGTATGCCTTCTACGGTCCAATGCCATCAAGACATGATGTCTCATTGTTTCTCCAAGTTGCCTTCCTACGTGTCATGCAATTTTGCTCATCCCAATATTTATCGATGCATCAGCGTTGCATGGGCCATATCTTTGGTTGGATGATCTCTTTGCTTCGGTCGCTGTCCTGACTCGGAGAACCAAAGCACTGGGAGAATGATGCAAAGCTGACATTATGACCAATCATGTGAAAAAACTTATAAACGGCATTCATCGACTGCGAGGATGGATGATGGATGATAACATCAACAACAACAACATTTGTTCTAGGAAATCCAACCCTTGTTCGAGTTGAGAGATGGTGGGATGGCATCAGAGAACTGGAAAAGGTCTCGGAAACATGTCAAATGAGGGCCTCAGTGAAGATGTCACGTTCCACATCCCCCATGGTGTTGTACTTCACTACCTTAGTGGATGTAGCGTTCAAGCTTCGATGAGTGGACCTCCATAATGTCAAGCGTGCATCTCCTCAGCAATACTAAAACATCACCAACGCTTAGGATTGGAGAGATCCAACAGGGGTTTATGGTTGGATTCTGCATGCAGTGCACTGTACATGGTGTCTTTGTGACTATTCCACCTTAGACAAACTTTCGATCTCCGACCATAGTGCAGAAAAGGTTGTCATTGATAGGGTTCTGATGTAGATAGCTGACGATTAAGCAAGAATAAGTGTATACTGGAAAACGAGTCCGGTGTCCAAGAAACTGTTAGGCTCCTCCAGCTGAGTCATTAGATAGGGTTCACTTTGTTCAGCAATGCTGCACCAGTCTGTCAGCAGGAATTTACCTGGCTGAGTTCTTGCAAGGTTTCAAGAAGATCATGAAACTGGAATCATTTCTAGTTCTCTTCTTCAAGCATATCTAAACCCTACAAGAAAACGAAACTATTTTGCTGCCCAAAAAGATCAGTCCAGAATGATGTACGAAGGAATCAGAGTCCAACGAAAACATACAAATCGACAAGACACTTGGTCTTGCAGCATGGCCAGAACGATGCAAACTGGTAAAGCTAACTAGTCTGCAGCTTGTTAGATACCCCACATGTGTCTGAATGAAAGGACTAGTTGATAAGGGTAGGAAGAGATACCGATAAGGTGCCAACCCTCAGTCACAATCTAGACTGAGGGTTTGTTCTATATATATAGATAGATTTGTTACAATGATAGGCTGTAGAAAACAAAATGATAAAACAAACATTACCCTTATTCTAGTATTGATCAGATTTGATTAACTTTTATCATGCCTGAAATCCTTGAAGATATTTTCTTGCTTTGAACAGTCTGCAGTGGACTCATCAATTCCACTTCCATCCCAATTGCGGTGTTCTTCATGTGTGGAACGCGCACTTGGATTGATTGATATCATGAACTGACAGCTCCTGGTCGGTATCTAATTGTGGAAATGACTGCTAGTGCAACGTCAAAGCTAAGTAATCGATACCATGTCTCACCTGAAGGATCATCCTCATCACCACGAGATTGGAAGGAATCTTTGGCCTTTTGCCGTGTTGAGAAGCTGGTGCCGAATGGGAGCCAGATGAAGGAATTTGAGTGGCGTGCATGACCTGATGGATTCTCCCGTAGCATCCATAAGTGTTGGGGTGTGCTTGAACACAATCAAATGCCTTCTCATTGTCCTTGCCAATGATTGAGCCACCTATGTGGTGAATGATTCTCTTGTAATCATAATTACCAAGACTTCCTAATGATAGGTGAATTCCTGAAACCATGTCTGCTATAATGCTCAGGGTTTTCCTAAAGGATTACAGAACATGATACAAATTAAACATGATGTCGCGCGCGGATTATCGAACCTCTGATCAAGCCTAATCCAATGGTTTATCTGAATACAACACTAATCCACAGTAGAAAGCTTGAAGACATGAAGATTTAGGTTGGTTCTGTTTGTTGAGATAGATGGAGGGACTTAAACAACTCTCAAGCTGAATAGATTGGAATTTGCAGTCCAATAGGATTGCTTAATCCTTTAACTGAAGCTGCTCTACTTTCTCATGGCCGGGTATTGGAGTTCATGACTTCACTTGAGCTGGAGTCTGAGATCACCACCGGGCCTGTGAAGGCAGGCATGTAAGCTCTCTACATCTCAGCCCACAATGAGTGACACATATATAGCTCATACAAAATCGTGGTTTTGAATAAGGATTATGTTGAGGATTAGCACAAACACTGCTGAAATATGTCTCCTTCTGAGGATAATGAACACATATGTACGTATGAAGAAGCAGGGCTTTGTTAGGCATTTTGCAAAGTAGAAGGTCGAGAAACACTACGGAAGTTTACTGGACTGGATTGGATGTCTAATAGAACGCCTTGTGAGAGTCTTCAATGTTTGAGAGATCTTTCTACAGCTTGCCATTTCAGGTGAAGTACTGAAACTAAGATCTACATCCATTGAAAGGCACTTCATCTTCGATACATCAGTTTACATAGATTGATTCAGTGATCAAGACGAGGAGCACATACCTACGGCATCAAATGAATGAGCATAAGACTACAACTTTCCATGACATGCAAACCTAACTTAGAAACCGGTCAGCTCATATGGCTCCTTTTGAGAGCAGTCAAACATCTACAATTAGATGAATCCTAGAATCCATCACTTCCAGATTGCAGTGTGATCTTTTAATATTGCAAATCTAACTCAAAAAACGATAAAATTTGTATGGATTTCTTGACAACTCTCATGATTTTAAAAAATCAAAACTGTCAAGAAGCAGGTTATTCAAACATCTACACTCAAATGAATCCTATAGTCCATCACCTTCAGAGTGCAGTGTGATCTTTAGACGATACCACCCAAAAAAAAGAAGAACAACATACCTGTAACATATCAGCTAATCATGAAACTGCAGTGCATGCTTAGAGATCATTTGTATCGTCAGAAAACATGTTAGAACAAATAATCTAAATTCGCATATATGCATAACAAAAGAATGATCGGCAACTTCTCATAAGCAGTAAAGTAGAAAAAAAGAACAGTAGTCAGCATGCATCAGGAAAGTGTTAGAATCAGCTAAAAATTTTAATGTCAAGGTTAAAATCTAGTATCATAAATAAAAAATAGATCGTGTCTACCTTCAATATCATACATAATCAATACCTTCAACATCTTCGAAAAACTCAGAGACTCGTAGGAAAGTTAGACTTTCCTTTCCTCACTTTTCACATGATGACTATGATTGATGAATAGGAACCAATCAAGGAGGTGAGAGAGATCTCAATTGTGACAACGTGAGTCATCACATAGGTGAGAACTTTCTTCAAGGTTATCTCGGAAGATTTTCTAAGATATTGAATTCTATTGATCATTAACTTTAATTAGGATTCAATCGAGCTCCTTAATATATCTTCTCTTAAGTTAATTGAGCTATAAAATCTAATAGAATGTTGCTGCAAAATACAGATACTGTTGCCTGAAATTTTTAATACCATCTTGAAGTTTTGATTAATGCCTTTGGGTGTAAGAGTTTAAGCCCGTAAATAGATGCTTTTGTAGATGGCCTGGGTGTTACTTTGCTAATGTCTGTCATAGACCAGCGATTTTATATTGTTTATATTGTTTTGTGGCCTTCTAAATGGTTTTACATGGATCATCTACTTCATGATTTATATGATAATTATATTTTGGTCAGATATGCAATTCCCAATGGATATGATTTTTTGTCTATTTTTTGTAATTATCTTTTATCCCAAAAAACCTGCTTCCTTGAGTTTTAATCCCCTCTAATGTGCATTAATTATTGAATATATATATATATATATATATTCGAATAAGATGAGTTTTCCCAGTAATGGGTAGAGGGATTTTATGTGCACCGAAGAGACTTACACATGTTGGTACCCATTCTGCCTTATCCGTCGAGGCGCGCTGGGATTGGACAAGAAACGAGATAACGATAGGGACCCACATCTTGCCTGGCGATGCAGTGGACGAAACGGGGACGCGGGTATAAGTGTTTTGATCACGCGTTAAGAGATTTTTACGTGTACTTAAACTGAATTCCACCTTTTGATACCCATTTCTGCCTTATCCGCAAAGGCGCGCAGTGATTGGACATGAAGAAAGATTACAACGGGCCCCACAATCTAAACGTTACTCAGAGCGTATGATACAAAAGGAACCGGAAGAGGAATATTCTACGGCAGAAGCCACTGGGAGACGTCGACGTAGAATGTATGCCTATCGTGCGTACGGGTGTGGGTCGCAGTGCTTTTCCCTACCGCTTGCTGGCTTACTTGTGTGGGCCCGGGAAGGTACGACTCGCGGGTACGTGGAAAGATATTCTTGCATCGATTTTCTCCTCGTGTCCCGTGGGGCCATCGGGTCATCCAGCCAGGTAACGGGTAGACAATTAGGGTTGGCGAACTCTTGGATCATTCCTCCGTCTGTGGCCTGAGCGGACCGAGCTCTATCTTCCCGCGTTGAGGCGACGTGGCGCGTCCTTCATCACACGCCTCATAACCGGACACGTCCGCACTTTTGCTCGCACTTTTCTGCTGCTTTATGCGCGCCTTTGGGGCCCGCTTGCTCCCTCCAATCATGTTTCGAGCCTCGGCGACCTACGGTGCGCACGCCGGCGCACGTTAGCGCGGGTCCCTGTCTGCGCCCTCGGGATGTAGATCTTTAGGATGTGGATCATGGAGATGAATCAAAACAAAGAGAGAGAGAGAGAGAGGAGGAGGGGGAGGAGGAGATTGGAGTGGCCTATGTGGAGATCGATCGCCACCTTTTCCCCCTTGTGATTCTTCTCTTTCTTGTTGTTGTTAACGCCATATCATCGTCTTTCTTTTTCTTGGAATTTCTTTTGGTGGGGTTATCGTTCGGATTTGGCGAAGGGATGGGGCGATAGTAGAGGGATTCCGTAGTGGTGGTGGTGGGGATGGGGCGAGAGAGGGTCGAGGAGGACGAAGACGAGGGGTGGAGATGCCTTAATGAAGGGGACGGTGGCGGCGGCGGTGATGCCGCCGGCCAACGGTTCTTTGACCGGAGCAAGGTTAGGATACTGCTTTGCGACAACGATCCCAAGAGCTCGCAGGAGATTCTTCAGCTCCTCCTTAAGTGCTCCTATCAAGGTATTTCCCTCCTGTTCAGCACATGCGAACATATAGGCAGCTTCAGGTTTTGTCATCAAAACTTTTATTTGATCGCAATTAAGAATCAGAAAGGACAGCTAATTCTACAATCAAAGCCCGTTATTCACGAAAAGAAAAGGAAAAAAGGTTTTTTTTTTTTTTTGAATAACTGTGCGTATATTATTTCTTCAATTGGTGGCGTTTACTCTACTCTTCAATTGATTAGCAAGAAATCATGCATCAGTACTCCAATATATCTATGTATCTACGAAAAAAATAGAAAATATTTGTACTCGTTTGTTGCTAATGCCCTGATTTCTTTTCTTGTTTGTTTTTGGTGGTAGTATGAGTCAATATTTTCTTTTTCTTTTTCTTAGTCACCTAATGGTTAAACACCTTGGTGCCTGTATTGGTCTCGCTCCTTACTTGTGGTACTGTTTATGATAATTTATAGGGTACCATGTTTTGTTTGTTATGGCGGTGTTTCTGAAATCCGATAGACTAGATGGTACCATTGTCTTCACAAGTTTTTTAGTGGACAACATTCAGCTGATTGTACTTGTCATGTTTCAGTAACTTCAGCGAGGTCTGCCAGACAGGTGATTGATGTGCTTAATGCCCAAGGATCAGAAATCGACATCATTCTTGCGGAGGTCGAGCTTCCAATGGCCAAAGGATTGAAGATGCTGAAGTATATTGCAAGAAATAAGGATTTGAGGCGCATTCCTATAATAAGTGAGCTTACCCAGTTCTTCGTTATTGCTTCTTCCCCTTTTGTCGGAAATCAAGTAAAAAGTCTTGTTGCTTGCTTCCTGTTCCTTCCCCAGTAATGTCTGCGCAAGATGAGGTTTCAGTTGTCGTGAAGTGTTTGCGACTTGGGGCAGCTGATTACCTTATGAAGCCACTGCGCACGAATGAGTTGTTGAACCTTTGGACCCACATGTGGAGAAGAAGACGCATGGTACTGCTTGACATGAGCTACCCCCTTTTCATATCATTCTTTTGATGTGTGATGCATGTAATTACTACGACAATCAGGAGTAAAATTTGTTCATGTATTTTGTTCTACCAGCTTGGCCTGACAGAGAAGGATGTCTTCAGACATGATTTTGAGATAATTTTCTCAGACCCTAGTGATGCCAACACAAATAGTATAACTCTTCTCTCGGATGACACAGATGAAAAACCCAGTATGGGTACAAATCCAGAATTGAACTTGTCAAATCTTCCTGAAACTGAGGTAAGATCACTGGGGAGCTTGTTACTTGTTATTGAAGTATACTTGTTGATTAAGAAACCAGCAAAGAGGCTCATCGGATGTTCTTTATAAATTCACCTAATCAACAGTATCTATTGTCGCATATTTCTTATAGTTAATTATGATTATTGTATCTACATGAACCTAGGTTCTTGCAATAATAAATCACTAATCATAATTTTCCTTCTGTAAATCAAATAGTATAAGCTTTGTGGATTGATATTGATTTATCTTGTATTGTCCAGTCCAATGTGTCTCCTGTGGAGCCTGTCTGTAATAATCTTTTGGGAGATGTACAAAATATTCCAAGGGATGGTGATCGGGCAGGTAAATATGCCTGTGTTTCTGTAGTCATTACTTGTTTTAGTTTCTAAGCCTTTTTGTTTTTCTTTTTCTGTAGGCTTGTTTTCTCCAGTCTTGGGAAACTAATTCTTTTTACCATTATTTGCAGGGGGAATATTTTCATTGCCAAAGAAGACTGAGTTGAAGGTTGGTGGTTCTTCTGCCTTCTTGACATATGTCAAGTCAAGTGCATCAAGCCGAATGCCATGTATTGATGTTGATGTGAATTCTGCTCCATCAGAACCCTCAAATCGTGAAGAAAGCTCTCTTGCAGTGGGTGATACAGCACGATGCAACAGCAAATTGGTGCCAGAAAGCTATATTGGTGGAAATGGGACTCCAACCAGTAAGAATATATGCAATATGAAGGACTTCCAAACACCACCAGAGTTTCCCACATTATGTGTGTCTTCTTCTACTGAGCAGCAGCCACAGTTGAGGAATGAGGTTCTGAGTGATGGATCTGGCATCCCACCTATCTTTTCTTTGCCATTTTATTATCCGGGTGTGATGGATCAGAACATATTATGTTCACATGGGCAGTTGTTTCAGGGTAGCTTGAATGATGTGCAAGCACACCCCGCACCAGCCTTGCTGCCTCACTACGGTGTTGTTCCTCGTATGCCTCTGATACCATCATTCCCTTATCAGACATTCGGCATAAATATGCAATCGGGTCATGTGGCTGCACCAAATTTGTCTTCATCAATGACCACCCCGTCTGTGCTCGAAGTGAAACCTGGTCGGATCGAAAAAAGAGCAGCGGCACTCGTCAAGTTCAGGCAGAAAAGAAAGGATAGATGTTTTGATAAGAAAATTAGGTATGTAAATCGAAAACGCCTCGCAGAGAAAAGACCAAGAGTTCGAGGCCAGTTCGTGAAGCAAGTTAACAATGTAGACGTTAACCAAAATGTATTGGGTGGTGGTGATGGTGAATTTGGCGATTACGAAGATGATGAACCTACATCCAAGGAACTAGAACTCATTTCTTCTCCAGAACAGAATGCTTCTGACTGTTAGACTGAAGCTGGCAATATTTCCATAGACTGCTGATGATCAAAATATAGGAAGGCAGATGATGTTCTGACACCGGCAAACTTCCCATTCAAGCTGTGCTATTTATGAACCATGTTGTTACGGCTAATATGTTCCAAGACTTATATTACAAAAGAAAAGTGTGATGATGATAATTGGAGGTGTTAAAGGCATTTAGGTGGTATCGTTGGTTAATCTTATTTGCCGGTTTAGGTATAGGTGGCTTCTTTCTCCTAGTTACAATTTACTACTTTCAAAAGCTGCTGTCTCCTTAAGTTCACTGTTGCATTCTTGGACATTGTGATACCCATATTGATGCAAGTCTTACAGATAGATATAATATCAAATACTGCACTGAAGAGTTTTAATCCTTGGCAACATATCTCTAAGAAGGGAATCCATGCATCAACAATGATGTCTGTTTGTCTATTTAGCTGTACCTGTCGTTGTCTTATATTTGCAAGTTGATCCACATTGCTTTGATACATGTATTATCTGTGCATCAATATTTATTTGGCCCAAAAATGAAATGATATAATTTGTTTAAAAAATTGACTATTAAGTAAATTTTCATTTATATTGGACGTTTTTCATTATGATCCCCGATTTTGAGGTCAAATTTCTTACTGACTTAAGCCCTTCCGAAAAGTTTTGATGATGAATCCAAGCAGGAAAGTGGTATCCAAGTAGAATATAACAATGGATCAGATCTTATCATATATCTGATTTGGTATGTAAAATAGAAAAATAGACACCTGAATTAAATTCAAATTCTGGTGACATTCAAGATGGGAATTCCGCTGGTTGAGTTCTGAATGTTAAGAACTGGAGGCAAATCAAACACATCAGACAATCAGTTACAACATTCTCCAATGTTCATCCCAGATAACTCGAATGAGAAATGTTGGGCACCAAAAGAAAGAATTGGAGGAACCTAAACTTTGATCATGAGGGTTCAGTTTCCTCTGATATCTTCAGCTTCAGTAGCTCAATCATCATAGTCCACACCATCATCGTATCTCACTTCATCTGCTCCCAATAATATCATCAACTTTGAGCCCTGAGAGGTACTTTCTCCACCTCACCTTAATCCACTTAAATACACACATACAAGAGAAATTGGTCTTCCAAATTCTCATTAAAGATAAATTAAGACTCGGAATTTTGACCCAAGAGACAATCAACGTGTTCTCAAGCACATTAAATATCAATCAAGATAAACTTTTACGTCGATTCCATTGTCTATGAGAGACTGAACAACAGCTCTTATTTTCCCTTCAAACTTGTCCCTTTCCCTGGGAGCATAAGTACAAGTGTAAACATCAGCTTCTTTTGCCCTTTCTGCTAAGAACCGCCCAACCGCTAAGCATGCAGGTATATCTGACCTGGACTTTAAAACTGCCTTTATATCCTTGGAGTTAGTTCCTGCAACTGCGACCTGTTTGCATGTCACCCTATGGGTGACGGAAGCTGAGACAAACCGCTTGGATATGAAGACATCGAGTGAGAAGGGCTCCATATAAGCTATTGTACGCTGCTTGAATGAAATATGTTTATGTGGGCTCTTTGGTCTCTTTTCCTTCTTGTATGTGTACGGTCTGCTGTTGTCATCATCCAAGAAATCTTCCACACCAAAGAAGCTTCTAGGGCCACTGAGGACCTGAGGTAAGATACAATAATAATTTAAATTGTATCATTGAATAGTTAGCGAAGTGAACAATTAGGAATTTTATAAAGCACGTGAAAACACCATTAAGACTTTAATGGATACTCCTTCAACAAGAACTCTGAGTTAGTTAAAGCATCTCTTAAACAGATAAGCAACTTGGGATAGGGATGCTTGCAAACAAAGAACTAAAAGCCCTTCACATTTAGTTAGCCAATCAGCATCCGTACTTTTTATTCTAAAAACATAGTTGCAAATATCGGTTGGAGGTACAGAGAAGGCTTTGGACCAAGATATTGAACCTTGCCCAGAAGTATGACAAAGTAAGATTCTAGAGGGAAAAAAGAAAAAAGATGCTATCATGTACAACAATATTTTCCAAAGACTTCACTTGGTTTGGAGGATGTTATGAACTTATGATAATGATCTTCATATGACAACACTAGTCATACACTGATTTGGATTATAATCAACACAAGTCCTGTTTCTATGGACCTCAGATAGCTCTAGCCCTGCTTGCCCCATGTATCTTTTCTTGTCATCAAACTTCTTTGCGCTTTTACCATTTTCCTTTTTCATGTTTTTGCCTCTATGTTTTTGTTTTCTGTTGAGGTTTACCAATTGTTCAGCCCATCCTGGTGGTTACAGGAAAATCAAGATTTTATGCATTTAAGTGAACTGAGCAGTTCCCTTGTCAACCATATGTATAATGCTAATGATAGAAAACTAAGATATTTAATTCAATCGGGATAGCTATGAGAGTGAATTTCTTAATATGAATTGGCTCCTTCCTATACCAGATTACTGCCTCTGAGCATTTGAGTAAATATCACTGAACAATTAAATGTTCATTACTATATAAAATTTGTTTAGAAGCATTGTTTCAAATTTCCTCTAGAATATTCTATTTTGTCGCAAGAACTGGCCCGTCATGTGTTCCAAATTTCCTCTAGAATATTTTTTTTTGAAGCATGTTCATACTATATAACTACAGGTATACAGACCACATGGCTTGTTAAATATTCTATTGTTGCAAGAATTGACTCATAATATGTTCCAACTTTACGTAATCACAACATACTAATTTGTTAAACAACCTACCAAGTCAGTTGAATGATTCCAGTCCTCAAGCGAATCAATGTAAATCAACCAACATTTGTAAGTAAAGATACTTGATTGCTTAGTTTTAATAGATTTTACCTACTGACATTTTGAAGTACATTATCGAACCCATTTCACTATTACTCAACTTTCATATCTCAATTAAAAACAATAATAACAGATCCCACAAAAATTAATTTATTGCACGTACAATAACATATTTACCTCAAAAAGAAATGAAAAAGAACAATCACCAATTTCAGTCTTAATCGATGCATGACATGAAATAAAAAGAACAATCACAGCATGTGCATTGTGCACAAACGGCAAAAATCCAAGTAAAAGAAGGGGAAGAACAAAATTCTGCACCAATATGTCACCTTTCCGTCATGGAAACCACGTCGACAAACGATTGAAAGAGTCCTATCTCCATAATCCATCGCATGGCTTCCTTTCCTTATTGTGTTCAAAATATTTCTGATCATCGCCTGAAAAAGAAAACACGGGCCTTCTTTAGCAGACAAGATAAAATCAGAAGAGGCTCAAAAATTCGCTTTTTGATCATTGATTCACGAGCCACTCCAATCCATTTTTTGACATCTTTCCAAAGAAACAGGAAGGAGAGGTGGTGGGTGCTCGCGCGCGCGCGCACGTGTCTCTGAGAGAGAGAGAGAGAGATCGCACCGTCGCTGGTGAGATGCGTGGCATCGCCAGAGGACCGCCTTCTAGTCGCAAGCCGGAGCCCCTCACTGGGATTAGGTTTCGACTGCCGGAGGACTTCCCGCCCGAGCAGTAGGGTTGCCGGCCGTCGGGCTAAGTTCAAGAGATGAGAGGATTGAGGCCAGAAAGAAAGACCAATGGTGGTTTAGTTAGACCGGCTTATAGTTTAAATTGGGTCCGGTTGGGTTCGAATCGATCTGAGCCCATCTGGTCCACCGTTTATTTGGGTTTCCTGGTTGGATATTTGGTCACCAATGCATTCGTTCCGCACCACTATCAGATGGGAAGAATAGCAGTGATGTGATGTACACTACAGCATCAACTGAGGCATGAAAGAAATCTTAGCACCGTTGACTAAGAGGCAGAATCTAAAAGGTAAAGCCAATCGCATAGACAGGCTTGCTGGTTGACTCGGTCATCATCCTCACGTTCAACAGAAGAAGAAGAAGAAGAAGATTCAGATCACATTATTCTGACAACACCATGGAAAAGAAGACAAAGGTGTCTTGGACATATCCAAGTCTTCGATCCATGTGAATCTTGAGAAGACTTCGAACAGGTCTACTGTACTCTCATCAGTCACAATGCCCTCCTGATGAACATAGGAAAGCTTCCTCAAAACACCTTTAAAGATGCTGTTTTTATTTGTGATCCTTCATGTCCATTGTAAGAAGTATAATTATGAAGATTGCTTTTTTTTTTTTTGGTTTTTGGGTGGCAATCTCATACTTCATACAATCATCTAAAATAATAATAAAATATAATTTTACAATATACAATCATTCAATTATCAATCATAAAGCTTGCCAATAGATTCCCCATAATTATTATGTAATTGTCATGTTATTTTTTATATACACCCCTTGTAAACATTGATATCTGATAGTATTTAAGCATTATTTAGATTCGAATTGGAGATTTCACGGTCAATCTGTAGAAATTCTAGCTTTATGGAGGGCGTTTGTGTAAATTCGATTATGGATATCATGCGAAAAGGTCCTTTAGATGTTTGGTTTTGTGTATAGCCCTCGATCGCTATGGTCAAAGGGGGATGAGGACCGCGCAGGAAACTTCCAGGAAAGATGTCGCGGCGACGCGGACGTGGATCGCCAGACGACGAATCGGGGGAATGACGATATATTGGATTTGCCGCTGTCGTTGTTGATCGAAGAAGGCGAGTAGTAGAATTTATTGTGGGCTCGAAGGGGGCGGTCCTGTTCTCATTCGTCTTCCTCTGATCCGAAAACCCCCTCGCCGTTCGCCATTGTTTCCTTCGGTTCGGCTGTCGGATGTGCGCTTTGCTCCCGGCGCCATGAAAAGGTCCGAATTCATCAACATCATCAAGGTTGGTGCAATCTCTTTCCCGCACCTTGTGTTCCCGACGTTTCGTTGCGGTTTCTTTCGCTTCTGGAAAGTAGATGTAGCTGAGTAGCTGATTGTTTCTAGTTCGGTAGGATCGAATATTGATGGAATCGGGAAATGTTTTAGGGTTTTCGTTGATATGGTTGCTAATGGATCGGAGGCTTCGATCATGATGACATAAGGGGCGTGATTGACGTTTTATTGGATGTAAAAACATCCACTTTTGTAGATAGAAGGAAAATTACTAGTTCGATTTATGACAGGATAGTTAATTGGGAAGAATATCTGCGGTTTGTTTGTATCATCCGATCATAAATTTCTTTCTCTTCGTTAATCTTACTTTGTTACTTTATGAAGATGGTTGAAGTCCATTTTTATCTTTCCTCTCAAAGGAATCAGAAATTGAAGTTGTTAATACTAACTAATTCTTCGGTTCGTAGTATGATCATGTTTGGTTCGTCTTTTGACAAAATTATTAGTTGATCTATTTATCGAGGACTTCAAAAACATCCCCTTTTTTGTGTCACAAGGACTGAGATTTGGGACGCTGAACCTCTTAATTGTATATGTAGCACGCTTGTCCACTGGGGTCGAGTACCATTGGCGCATGGCTTATTTGTGCATTTAAGATAAACATTAGTTCTTGCAGTAAAAAACTTATTACTGTTACCCGTCTTGTGTGTTTCAAATTTCAGAGGAATTTTAAAGGGGTGGTACCTGTTTCAGGTGGCTGGTCTGAGAATTGTTCTCTTGCTTATGTGTGGCTTTACCATATGCATCACTTCTTATAGTAAAGCTTGTCGCTTCTACCCTTCTTCTAAAGCATACAAGTTTAGCAGAATTTTAATTCGTGCTGCTTGTCTGTTGGGGTTGTGTCACATAATTACTTATAGTAAAGCTTGTTAGGTCTACCTTTTTCTAGAGAATAATTCCTGGTGGCACTAAGTGATACCTTAATAAAGAAGGTGGTATTATAATTGTCTCATGGTTGTTAATGCTCACTGTAATGAAAAAAAGATAATTATTCTATTGCTTATTCAAATGGACAGAATCATAGCCTGATAGATTTTATTTCTCACTAGAAAGGTAAATAGAAATTACATGCAAGGATTGTGAAGTTATACCTAAAGGAAGTTCGACTGGTTGTTGTGTAGAGACCGCATAATCAGCCTGAAATGGTTTAACCCTTGATGGTTATGACCTGCATATGAATTAATCATGTCTGAAATTAGTTGTCCCAAGAAACACTTTCATTCCATGTGCTAAAACTGGCAGAGAACATGACACAAGTTGTTGCTATCTCATTTCTTAGAAGTCTTTCCATGAACATTTTCTTCCCAACATGTTTGCAGCTTGAACTTCTGTTTGACCAACCTGAAAATAGTTGCTTGCTTGTTGGTTATTGTTATTCTTATGGGTTGGTGATGGTAACAAAGTTAATGTTGATTGTGCAAGCAAATAAAGTATAGCATACGCTGAAAATTTGGCAAATATCAAGTGATAAATTTGGGATATATATATATATATATATATGTATATGTATATATATATATAGATCCTACATTTGCTTATGCCTAGAGCACAAATGTTAGCCGAAATGCACTAAATACTTGTGCATATTTGAATACCCAAGTGTTTCTTAGTTACGAATGTACTTGCTGGATGATTAATGGTATGAGCATGTTTGTCTTCTTTTGATTTCTAACTTAAAGGGCTGTTTTTTTAGCATCATAGAGAATATGGGATATCCCTGTTGTTTTTCAAGACTCCAACATGGATATTTTTAGCTGTTTAAATTAACTTGTTAAATCATCTTTTTACATTCTTCAGCCAAATGTTATTTTTCTTATTTCTGAGTTTTTATTCCATCACCCCCTTTGAGAACCAAGGAAAATATTGTTTTGTCACTGGGACTGCTATTTTGCCTTTTGTCTTTCAGCTCTTAACCCTATTTTTTCTTTAATAGCACATACTGATGCTTACTTGCACATACTTTGCATATCTTATTTGCTGAAGAGCACAGCATGCCTCAATACGTCATCTGCGGATACTGGGAAAGGGCGGAGCAAGTTGTCAAGTACCAAAGTATCTCATGGATTCCACTTGGTGAAAGGGAAATCAGGTCACGATATGGAAGACTACCATGTGGCAAAATATAGATATGAAAAAAATCATGAGCTTGGCCTATTTGCTATTTTTGATGGTCATTTTGGGGATAGTGTACCAAGCTTCCTGCAAGCCACCCTTTTTGACAATATACTAAAAGAGGTATATATTATTCTTTTTCCACCATCCTTATTCCTCTAATTGGCACTTTTATTTTACTTTTTCTTGTTACATTTTATAATCTGAGATAAAAGATGTTGAAGAGGAAGACCAGTCATGTAGGTAAACATGACTCCTTAAGTTCATAGTATATATATTTAAGGATCATAAATATAACCAAATTGTTTTTTTAATTCTCAGGGCTTAACTATTTCTCTCAAGATTTCTTCTGTTTTTGCTTTCATGTGAATATTATTCTTGAAGTTGAGCCTTTTTCACTATTTGTACAATTTCAAATTCTTCAGAATGATAATTCTCATTTGTTATTGCTGCAGCCTTTGTTTTGGAGCGATCCTAAATCGGCAATTAAGAATGCTTACTGCTCCACAAATAATGCTATTCTTGAAAACTCAAAGCATTTGGGGCCTGGGGGTTCAACAGCAGTCACAGTGATTGTAGTTGATGGCAAAGATCTGTGGATAGCCAACATAGGCGACTCCAGAGCTGTCTTGTCTGAAAGAGGGGCTGCTAAGCAACTCACCGTCGATCATGAGCCCCATGTGGAGCGAAGTAGGATCGAAAAGCAAGGCGGTTTCATAACAATTTTTCCTGGTAATGATTTCCTTTCGATGCTGTAGACTTTACTTGACATGAATGACTGTCACCAGCACTAGACCGTTGGGTGGGCTGAAACTTCTTGATATGATCAGGTGATGTTCCCCGTGTTAATGGCCAACTTGCGGTCGCAAGGGCTTTCGGTGACCAAAGCCTCAAGGCACATTTAAGTTCAGAACCTGATGTTAGACATGTCCCAATAGACTCGACTACAGAGTTTGTTATACTTGCGAGTGATGGATTGTGGAAGGTCAGTGGTCCTAAATCCTTTAACTTCTCCTGCATTAAGCTAAAAAAATTTGTTTGGAAACCCTCTCCTCTGGCTTTATATAGTATTCCAAATTGTAAGAAGAAAAAATGGCCTACCTGGGTTCAGTTTTGTTTACTGCCTGAGATCATAGCATGGTGAGGATCCTATACATACTCTTCCCCTTTCTGGCAATAGCTATTGTAATAATCTAGGTGCCATTGTTATCTGCATATGATGAATCTCCCCAGTTATGTCTTCTCCATTTTCTCTCTTTCAAGAAGATTGCATTCATTGCCTGCATGACTTATTAGACAATTGGGTAATGATGGGCAAATTTCACTTTCCTTTTTCTTTTCTTTTATAACCTTTCTTCGCTTATTCAGGTAATCAACAATCAGGAAGCTGTCGATCTCGTAAAATCCATAAAGGATCCTCAGGCTGCAGCGAAGCGTCTGACGACGGAAGCCTTGGCAAGGAAGAGTAAAGACGATATTTCATGCATCATGATTCGTTTCAGATGTTGAGAAAAATGGCATTCACATCCTATTGGAGGGATTAGAGCTTAGTTGGGATTGGTTCGCTGAAAAGAAAGAAGAAGCTTGCGTTACAAGAAAACAAAATCAAGGCAATTGAATAGCAAAACAAAGTGTAAGGTTTCATTCTATCACACACATATATATATATATATATATATATATATATATATATATATATATATATATATATATATATATATATATATATATATATATATCAGGTGGATAGATAGTAGGATATTACAGAAAATTGGACTTGTACGAGATATGTATTTGCTTTATGGAACAAAAAATAAATAAAAGGGACAAAAAGGGGGAAAAGTGAAAATGAAATTATGGAAAAATTAGATTCCGTTGCCGGGACTCGAACCCGGGTCTCTCGGGTGAGAGCCGAGTATCCTAACCAACTAGACTACAACGGATTTGCATAACCTTGCAATTATATAGCGTATAAAAATGTTTATTAATGTAATATTTCAATTCTTTCTTGATTTATTTCATCATTACAATTGGATTCATTAGCATGTGTTTTTGTTGAAAGTTATGCGTCGATCGTAGCAATGATAATGCATGAAATAAAATCTTTATAACCTTGAAATTTCATGCATTAGCGTTCTTACTCGTATTATTTATCTACCATCCATATGAGTTTATGGTGTGATTCCGATGAGTTACATGGAAGAATCATCACTTGAGGTGATGAGTCTTATCGGCATTGGAGCCCTTTGGCCATTCTCTTGCTATCATAATCATGTCTCAAATCCTATTTATAAAATATTTTTTGCTTAGGCTTTATTTAAGGTATATGGTGTAAAAGAAAATGTTGAGTTGACTAAAGCTACAACCCTTTGGTCTCATGTAAATAATGCAAAGCTTTAATGGACCATGCAAGGCCAAGTCAGAAGAAAGCATCTGAAGGGGAGCGTTTGTATGCCTTCAATTACATATATATTAGGTAGAACAAGCCTAAGTGGGTGTGGAAATATGCTGTCACTCACTTGTGGTGAGCATGGCAACAAAAGTGGGGATCGCTTTCTTCTTCCCTCCATCGGTGCTTGTTTCTTCCATGGAATCACTTGTCCTGGCAAAGTGACAACAGGAAATGGGAACTCCTCGGGAGACACAGGCAACGGGCCCAATAAAGCACTGCAGCCATGAGAGGAAAAAGAAGATGTGACATGATGATGAGGGGAAAAAGCTACGTTACTTTTGTTTGTTCTAGAAAGAGCAACAAGATGGATGTCACCATACGCGGATTAAGGATTGCTAACCTCTTTCTTATATAGTGTTTACGGAGTTTATCTTTGTTCTTTCAAAGCTCGAAATATTTACCTTAATAGTTTTTGATATTTCTCTTTGATATCCATACAGAAAAAGTCAGGTTAACTAATTCAGGATTTTAACTAATGGTTAAGAGAATTTTTACTATGAGAAATTGGTTTTAGAGGGATATAAAGCATGTTGGAAAACCTAAAAGCTAATTAACAGTTGAATTAAGATTCATAGGACTGAAAGCTAATTAATCTCATAGGCCATTTTCTTTGCCACTAAGAAGCTTTGTTCAGCTTTAAAATGCAAAGATGGTTTGTTGTTGTCAAAGGAAAGCTGATCCAGTGAAGTTTCCTATTTTGAATAGAGATATGAATTTATAGTATTTTATCGCATGATTCAAAATGTTTAAGTTCATATTAATGGTATTGTATACATGTAATTGTATACATCCTTTCCCTTTCACTATCTTTGTTGAAAGCTTCAAAATCTTTGGTATGTCAAACATGCTTTAGTGCAGTAAAAAGCTTCAAATTCTTCCTCTCTCTCTCTCTCTCTCTCTCTCTCTCTCTCTCTCTCTTGTACTGAGAGATCTTCTTTGGACACAAGCATTTTTATTTCTAAGGAGATGATGACATATCGACGACCCCTTTCTCTCGTCTCGTGTGTGCTGAGATCTTTTCTTTGGACACAAGTATATAATTTTAATGACCAAAGACATACGACTCTTTCTTTCTCTCTCTCTCTCTCTTACTTCTTCTTGTGTACAGTAGCATATATAAATGAGGTTACTTTCAGTTGGAACTTTAAATTCTCTGATAGGTATGAATCGATCTTTGCCGTGGCCGGTCATGACGCCCGGAGAGCTACTTCTAACCTAACCTGTACTGCTCTGCCACTTTAACGTCTTGTTTTGGCGGTGGTGCTCATTCCCACCGTCGCTTTCCGTCCTTTCCCCCACGGCCAAATACTACACGGAGGTGACAACATCGTTCTCGTGTGTTAGGATGGATAATTATATTTAGGTTTTGTTAGTTAAAACCACTTGTTGTTTGGAGAATAAATTACTTAAAGAACAATACATTTAAAAATGAAAAATACTACTACGTGAAGAAAATAAATTCATGGAAATCAAAAACTAATTACTCCTACTTTTTAGTGGATGAAGAAACTCATTTTATGGTTCTTTTAGTCAAATTAAAACGATGAATTAAAACGACTAATTTATTATTGATATTTAAGTTTGGTATCTCAACAATAATATTTTATTATTTTTTAGTAATTTGTTGTGAAAATAATGGTTGAACTTTCATTTTTAGTAAAGATAGGGAGATGTGATTCCTAAGATGTTCAAAATATGTTAAGAAAAAAATACCATTAAATTTTCAACTCCTAAAAAACCCTAATCTTAGCACCCAAAAAAAAGAAACTTTATATTAATTCTTTGAAGTTTAAGGTCTTCCTTTACATATTTTTCTTCGGATTGTCTGATATGATGGAGAATTGAAGTGGAAAAAAAAAATTAATATGGGAACTTAAAATGTAAAAAAAAAACCACATAAAAAAGAGTTTTCGCATATTTGTCTTTGCATTTACTCTTACATATTTTAGTATAGAATATATGTCACTCCATGGATTAAGATCTTCCATATATATATATATATATATATATATATATATATATATATATATATATATATATATA